TGATGGAGAGGGTTGGTATCGGCAACGTTGATTGAGAGGTGGGGATGATGATGATGGCAAAGATGGTGAAGGTTGTGGTAGACATGGTGGCGGAGGTGATGGCGTGGAGATAGCAGCGGCGGTGGTGGTTGCAGAGTTGCAATGGTGGTGGTAGTAATAGCACTTATAGTTGTACCTTAAAAATTAATTTTATAGTGTTGAATATTATAAAACAACCCCATTATGATTGTGAGATTTGTGTCTTAAAATGTACATATTTATTATTACTTTACGAGAGCCTTTTGAATTTTTTTATATTACATAAATATAGATGTGTGTGTTTGTTTTCCATTGTTTGCACCACGTGATACTTTGTTCCATAGGATAGGACCAAACATAGCATTATGTTATTAGATATCTTCATAGCTTCCTATCTAATTTGGGATAAGGTGGCATTGTATCCGGGTGCATGCTTCATCAGCACTCTGTAGCCGATGACAAAGAATAGCTACATGCAATACTTACCAACTTAGAAGCAGGAGGTGTATTACATGCAATCCTTTATTATCTTGTTCTCCTAGTATAAATAGGACCCTTTTGTAGAGCAAGTTTAGGTACAAGACACAGGAAAGTTATATAGAAGAGAGATCCACTAATAGCTAGAGCGAACACACACAGAAAAGAAGAAAGAAGGGGAAGGCAAACACACACAGAGAAGGAGAGCAGCGGATAATTAAACAAGGCAACATTGAGGTAATCAGCAGCAAGTAGACCAAAGGCACAAGAGAAGACATTGGCAAATAGAAATTAATCAAGGCGTGTTTAATGTACAAAGTGACAAGCAGATAATTGAAGAGTTTTTCCATTTCTGCCCTTCTAATGTTGTCAATAAATGGGCTTTAAGCCGTTCTCGATTACATAGAAGAAAATGGAAACAGAAGAGGGGAAAGAAGAGAACGACTGATCATCATTCATGAGAGGACAAGTTCGACGAACAAAGGTGCCGGAGAGCAAGAAAGATTCAGGCTTTTTCTAAACTTGGTTTTCTTAATTTTATTATGGATTTAGTGACAACATGATTATATTTCGGAAATAATTATTTTCGCTAGAGCTACGATGTAGCCTAACTATGATTGCTTAATTCCTTAATTTTGTTATTTCTGAATTTTCTTCTAATGAGGAAGGAGACCATATAACTTGTAAGGATTGCAAAGTTATACTGGGGGAGAGCTTGGCTAATCAACATCGCTTGTTGGTGATGGATGTACATATCAAAAGAGAGGGAAAAAAGAACAAAACCTTGAAGTGCCCAAGGACTAGATGGTGGAATCTAAAAGGAGAAACAAGTCATTTTCAAAAAGAAAGTAATCACCCAATGCATTTGTGATAGAGAGGGGGAAGCTAGCTAAATGTGGGATTCCATGGTTAGTTGTATCCGAAAAGTAGTGATCACTCATATATTTCATACATTTATACCATCTATTTCTAAAGTCTTTGTGATGTTTTTGTGTTAAAATTGTGGCATTTTACCTTACCTTGTGTTATTGTGCAGTTAAATGTGTTTTAGGTTCAATTTCAATTAAAAGGAAGAAAAGTGAAGACACGGACAAAGGAGAAGAGAGGATAGCAGGAAACAAAGTGGAAAAACAGCATGGAAGAATTCTGACAGAGTGGAGAGAGCATTGAGGCAGTGACGAAAAGAAAAAAGAAACAAATAAAAAAGATAGACTGGCAGACAAACAAGGAGTGGAAAGAAAAGAAAACGGAAATAATAGGGGAGTGGGCAAATTGACAGCGGGAAAGGAGAGAGCACAGCAAAAAAATATAAGAAAAGGAAGTGGAACAAAAAGCTGGAGAGGGAGTGAGGAGTGCGGGATAAAAGCAAAGAAAAATAGAAGAATAAAAAGAGAGTGCAGGGCACATGGATGGACGCAGCAAAAAGGCAAGGCAGACACGGGCTGACTCAAGGCAAGAACAGAGAAAAAATAAAAGAAAAGAAAGAAGAAGGGAAGCAGACGGGCAGAAAATAGAGGGGAGAGGGAGAGCGCAGAGAAACGAAGCGCAGAGAGATAGGAGCGCAGGACTGCGCAGAAGCAGAGGCGCAGAAGCAGAAGGAAGAGACTGACGCAGAGCAGAAGAGGAACTAAAATCGGGTGTTTTCTTTCTTGTTATTTTTTTATGGATAATTTCTTATGTATGAACATAATTATGTGTAACTAATTTATTATGCTAGAGTGAGGCCATGAGCCGCAACATGAATACGTAGATTTATTTTTCAATTGCTTAAGTGTTGTTACATCCTTGCTTTGATATTTTCAATCTCTAAATTAAACTATCTATGTGTCTTGATGATTGATCACCATTAGGATGCTTAGAAAAGTTATCGGATGCAATTTTGAACGAATGTCACGTTAAAATTGGTTGTGCTTCTTGTGATTGAGGATTGTACTCTCCTAAGGTAAATATCATGCTCTTAGGGATTACATGGTTTAACAAAAGGATTTTCACCAAGATTAATGAATCTCTCATGTTTATATTTAATCCAAATGTCATGGATAAATTGCATGTAGTGGTATGCGTTTTAGATTGAATGTCACAAGTAAAACATACACAAGGAAAATCCAACCTTCAAAGCATGTGTGTTTTCAATTATTTAAGCAATTGGAATAGCTACGTAGGAGTGTTGTTGGTAAAGGTTGAACTCTAGCATATTGTCGATCTATTTTTCTTCAATCATTTATTTTATCTTGAATTTCCTTATTTACTTGTTTTGTTTAAGTTGAATCATTATTCCTATAAACCAATTCCCATTTTAGATATATGTTTAAGTCACATCCAGTAATATTTAGTTTCGTCAAATTAGTGTAATTCTTAGAGTTAAATAAGTTAAATACACAAAAACTCGTAAATTGTTTATATCAGTCCCTGAGGAGATCGACCTTGCTTGAGCCATTCTATACTACAAACACTTGTTCTCTTGCAAGAATTTTCTATGGTTTAACCCCTTGTTTTACAAGTGGTAAAATCGCTATCAAGAAATTGGCGCCGTTGCCGGGGACTGTGCCAACAGTTCCCGAGCTTTTGTGTTTATTTTTCTTATGCTTATGTTTATGTCTTATTTTTATTAATCATTAAATAAAAAAATAATAAAAATAAAAAAGTTGAAAGAATCCTCTTTGATTAAGCCCATTAATGGTGAATTTAACTTTGGTACCGTAATAATGCTGTATATTTGCGTTAGAAATCTGTTTATGTATCCCTTTCACAAATTTCTGTTCTAAATCACGTATTATTAAATTAATTAAAAAAAACAGCAATTAATTTAGTTGAGTTTTGATCTTTGATTAAGTGCAGTGGATGTGTGGTGTGAGATTTTTGTCTTTGTTTAACTAACTAGTGGTTGCCAATTTGCATAAATTGTGTTTTTTTTAATTCATCTAGGTTTACTTACTTTCTTTTCTTTTTTGTTGTTTAATTAGTTTCTGTTAAGTTTTATTTTATTTTACTTTTATTTTTATTTTTATTTTTTATTTTTTATTTTTGGCTTAATATTTCTGTTGTTTGTTCAGGTGTAGTATATGGTGATTGGAACAAGGTCCAAGAATCAAGGGCTTATTCCTTACGACCCTGAACCAGAGAGAAGTGCAAGGAAGTTAGCTAGAGAAAAATATTTAGCACAAGATTCCAACCTTGGTGATATTTTTCTTAAGGATTTGTTCCGTGATCCTGAGAGCAGCAAATGTATTTTCCAACCTTTGACACCCGTTGCACACATGGCCCTAGCCTTACCTGCAGCAGGTCAACCTTTAAGGAATTCATTGGCGGCGAGAATCAATGCAGTGCCAAGGTGCATTATATATCCAGATGTGGAAGATGAGACATCCTTTGAAATCAAACCTCACATCCTCAACATATTGCCATCCTTTCATGGGTTGCCAAACAATGATCCCAACATGCATTTGGCTGATTTTATTGAGGCATGTGACAACACCATAATCAGAGGTTTCTCTTCTGAAGCTATCAAGTTACGTTTGTTCCCATTCTCTTTGAAGGACAAAGCCAAGGCATGGCTGCATTCTCTGCCTGCCAATAGCATTACAACATGGACAGAATTGCAAGAAAGATTTCTCAATAAGTTTTTTCCTTCTTCCAAGACGTTTGCACTCAAGATAGAGATATTGGCTTTCGCTCAAAAGCCAAACGAGTCTTTCCATGAAGCTTGGGAACGGTATAATGAGATGTACACAAAATGTCCTCATGCTGGGTTTGATTCTAACCTTCAAATGAACATATTTTATGATGGTCTCAATGCCACCACCAAGAGTCACGTGAATGCATCTGCTGGAGGGTCATTAATGTCAAAATCAGCAAGGGAAGCATTTGAGTTATTTGATATGATGGCTTCTGAATCCCAACAATGGACAGAAGAACAAACACAAAAGAGGGGAGTTTTTGAGATTTCTCAGAGTTCTTCTAATGTTTCTGCTCAAATTGCTAAAATGGAAAAGAATTTTAATGCCAAATTTGTTGCCTTAATGCAGGTCTCTTCCATGCCCAATGCCCAAGAAGCGTGCATCATTTGTAGTGCGACAACTCATGACAGCACTCAATGCCCCAACAAGGATAGCTACCCTGAGCTTGTGCAAGATCATGTGAATATGGTGAATAATTTCATTAGACCCAGAAGTGACCCTTATTCCAATACATATAATCCTGGGTGGAAGAACCATCCCAATCTCAGTTGGGGCGACAACCAACAGCCACGTCAATACCAACAGTCTTACCAATCAACTAGTGAGACTAAGAAACCATCTCTTGAAGACCAAATGTCACAGCTAGCTCAACATATGTCTGCTCTCTCTAATACCACCAACAATTTTGTCCAATCCACACAAACTAGCATTCAGAATCTCACGGCATCAGTGGGGAATTTGGAGACTCAAGTTGGACAGCTTGCTACCATGTTCAATGAAAGAGAGAAATGAAGGTTTCCAAGCCAATCTGAGCAAAATCCAAGAGGGATGGAGCATTGCAAAGTAATACGGACATTGAAAAGTGGCAAGAGCTATGACAACAGAGAAGTGGTGCACCATGAAGCCGAAGTGGAAGAAGAAGAGCTTACTGAAAGTGCACCATTAGCTGCAAAGTCTCGGTCAGAGGCTATTTCTGAAACAGGTATTCCAGATCCTAGTGCAAGTGACAAAGTGCAATCTCGACCCAACTTTGATGCAAACAAGGAAAAAGGCCTTGGTAGTTTATTTGCACCTTCTGACAAGCCACCATACAAGCCACCTTTGCCATTTCCACAAAGGCAGCAACAACGTTCCAAGGATCAACAATGCATTGAATTCATGAAGACGTTGGCTAAGGTTCAAATTAATTTGCCTCTATTAGATGCTATTAAACAGATCCCATCATATGCCAAATTTCTGAAGGAGCTATGTTCTAAAAAGAAAAAGTTCTTGGAATATGAGAAGGTGATTTTAACTGAGCAATGTAGTGCTGTCCTCTTACATAAGCTACCACCCAAGAAGAAAGATCCGGGGAGTTTCACTATCTCTTGTACTATTGGTAGTCTTGATTTTCATAAAGTATTGATTGATTTAGGAGCAAGTGTTAACCTTATGCCTTATTCTGTTTTTCAAAAATTAGGTGAAGGAGAACTCAAGCCCACGTCTGTGAGTCTTCAATTGGCAGATAGGTCCGTGACCTATCCTTTGGGTATTCTGGAAAATGTGATTATTAAAGTGGATAAATTCTATCTTCCAGCTGATTTCATTGTACTTGACATAGAGGAAGACAAGGAAGTGCCTCTCATTTTAGGCTGACCGTTCATGGCCACCGCCCGGACACTTATTGATGTGGAAGCAGGTACTTTAACCCTAAGAGTGCAAGGAGAATCAGTTGTATTCAAACTCTTTGAAGCTGTCAAGCGTCCTTTCGAACTTGAAGAGTGTTTTCGTGTTGATGTTTTGGATGGGATTGTGCATGCAAACTTTGTCTCACGATCATCTAATGATAAGCTGTTAACTTGCCTCATCAACCATGATGCTACTTTATCTATGGAAGAAAATGTGGTGGACGTCATTGCTGCATTAGATAGTGCACCAATTCATAATCCAAAGTGGCGACATGTTTATGAAAGCCTTGGAGTGCCTAAGCAGCCTCTTTTTCCTTCAAGTGAGCAAGCTCCAAAGTTAGAGCTCAAGCTACTGCCGAGCCACCTCAAGTATGCTCATCTCGGGGTGAATGAGACCTTGCCTATTATTATTGCTGCTGATCTTAATGACACGAAGGAAGACAAATTACTAAGAGTTCTTCGCAAGTATCAAGATGCTCTGGGGTGGACACTTGCTGACATAAAAGGCATTAGTCCATCATTGTGCATGCATAGGATTTTTATGGAGGCTGGGACTAAGCCAACTGTTAAAGCTCAAAGACGTCTAAATCCGATCATGAAGGAAGTTGTAAGAGTTGAGGTGATGAAGTTACTCAATGCAGGTATCATTTATCCAATCTTGGATAGCAAATGGGTGAGCCCGACTCAGGTGGTTCCAAAGAAAACTGGTATTACTGTGGTGAAGAATGTGATATCTTTCTTGGGAGCACTCACACTAGAATTTACACCATTGCCGGATCACTTCAAGTATCACCTTCCATTCGAAGATCACTTCCATGCCATGGAACCTAGGGGAGTGTAACTGGAGGCATCGTCCGGCTGCAAGACGTTAAAGAAAGCGCTTCTTGGGAGGCAACCCAAGCTTTCTATCTTTCATCTTTATTTTGAATAATTTTAAATTTTCTTGTTCTGTTTTTCTCTTGTTTTTTTTTTGTTTTTGTGTTTAAGTCCTACTTGTGTTCCTTTATGCAGGTAATGATTTTGCAATCTCTACCACAACTTCTTGCAAGGTAGTTTTACATTCATAAAAACGAAAGGAACATTAAGCATATAAATACAAGAGGGAGCCTTCACAAAGGTTGCTTAGGAGAAGTTTCAGCAGTCGGCGGAGTCCCAGAAGGAGGAGGCATCAGAGGTTGATCAGTTGGAGCTTCACTACGCGGTACAGCCCCAGAAGACGAAGGCAAATGTTGTTGGAACAAACCCACAAACCGTTGATGATCAAGTAAAATCTGACCATCAGATTCTTGCATCTGGTCAATCTTCCTCTTCATGTTTGTGGCATAGTGTGTGCGAGCTTGTGCAACTGTTTATTCTCATGCTTAAGCCCTCTAATCTCCTGCTTGAGACTCATCACTTCCGCCGCCAACGATTCAACTTGACGGGTTCGGGCAAATAGGCGTTGGGCCATGTTGGACACGGAACCTGCACACTGCACACTAAGAGCCAGAGATTCCTTAACAGCCAACTCATCAGACCGTTTGGCGAGTAGTCTGTTATCTTTGGGAGTGACAAGGTTCCTGCCACCACCGCAGCTGTCATATCATTCTTCATCACCGAATCCCCAACGGTAAGGGGACCAGTAGGGGATATGAAGGGTGGGCGCCATATGTTGTCTGGAGAAGGCGGAGCTGCCTCTTCACCAAAGTTCAAGTCAAAACAACGATCAGAAGGGCCAAACATTTTTCAGAGGTGGTAAAGAAAGAAGAGGTCGAACAAGTCAAGATAGTAGAAATGCAAAGATGGAGTTTTTGAAGGCAGAAATTCAAGTGTGCTTTGAACGTCCTGCATACCTCTATAAAAATTAGCACACGATGGGATTTCGGAGATCGAAGAGGCAATTCCAGATATCGAAGAGGCCAACTAAAAAAATCAAAGAGGCGCTAGCTTTCTCAAAAGCTGAGCTTGCTCAGAAACCACGGCAAATCTTCTTTTCCAGATTTGTCCGCACTCATCACATGCACCCTCTGCACTCGACGGAGCTCAGATTTCGAAGAGGCAAGCTCAGAAATCGGAGAGGAATCTGCTTTATCCAGACGTGTCAACATCTGTCACATGCAGAGTCTGCTTTACGGAAATCACGGGCAATCTGTCGAAGATCTCTGGTAAAGTATAAAACACGTGAAGTTTACTGTTCCATCATCTAATGGTTGCCGATAAGAGTAAAAGAACAGTACCGGTTATTATTTCCTATAAATGTCGACCTTCACCCTCCATGGCAAGGCAGACATACATAACCTCCTTCATCTCCGAGAATGCCTTTCCCACAAACCCTCTCGAGTCACTCCGTGTTCCTTATTCCTTGAGGTACCTCTGAAATCAACCCATCCAAAGCAAAAGTATTTCATATCATGAAGGTTGAAAGCAAGAGTATCTCATATCATGCTTTTTCCCTATCCTTGTCCTTGTCGTTGTTTTAGGACAAGGAGAAAGAGAGCAATCAGCCAGCACTTGGTATTAATCTTCCGATCTGGAGCCAACTGCCTGGAACCCCTTCCTGATTGCTTACCTAGCCTTGCTCTCGAGTACTCATCTTCATCATCTTGTGCTTTCTCTTCGTCTACCACATTTGCCTGGGGGACAGATAAGGGAAGTGAAAATGATACCTCGAAGCATGTGGAGACAATTCAGCTAGGGACAAGGAGAAAGAAAGCAAGAGGTGGGCACTTGGAAAGATTGAAGAAAGAAACAGACCAATACCTCTACCTCGTGCCTGGCCGCCGTGCAGAAGAAACAAGCAGAGAAGAATGCAGACTGCACAATTCAGAGTTCCTTGGTTTCAAATCAGACTCCGAGATTCGCCTACACAAATTGGTGTGTTCTTTCCTTTTCTTTATGTCTTTATTTCATTTTATCTTTCTTTCCTTCCATTTTTATGTCTTATTGTTCAAAAATTCCTTTCATTATCATTGGGGACAATGCTATAATTAAGTTTGGGGGTGGAAATATATTTCGTTAGTTTATTTCTCTATTAAAAAAAAAGAAAAAAAAAATTTGCATTTTTATTGTTGTTTGTAGCTAATTCTCAATTCAATAATGAGATTTGTTTTTAATTTCCTTCTTACTTTCAAGAAAGTCTAAGTTCTTTTCGTTGTCTTGTGTTAATTGTGATTTCCAGAAATAAACTTGAAAAATAAATGTGCCTAGTCTTGTCAATGTGAAACTTGAGCATGATTTAGCGTTTCATATGTGAATCATGTGAGATTATGTAAACCTTGTGAGTTTTTGAGCCTTTACATGATTGAACCATTATGCATCAATCTCATTCCTTCTTGTGCGTATGATCTCACTGTACATGTATCTCTAGAACTTGCTTTATACTACTCGATTCATTAATCAATTCATGTAATAACTTGGAAGTGATATAGGCCATCTTTGGATCGTTTGAGCCTTTCATGCCTACCTTATATGCTATGTTTATCCGTAGTAGCCCATTGAGCCTTTAACTAAGCCATTTCTTTGTTAGCCACATCTCTTTACCTTACTCCAACATTGGAGTTCAGCCCATACACAAAAATCGATTCCTTAATGTTTTGAGAAAGTATTACATGGGTTGTGCTTTTGGGGGTTTCATTTATGTAGAAAGATGGATGAAGCATGTGTATTACAATGAAATGTGAATTTGATGGGTGACGTAGCTTTTGCATATTTGTTTCTTTCATATAAAAAAAAAGAAAAAAAAAGAAAAAAAAGAAAAAACGAAATATATGAAAATTGGAGAGTGTTGATTTGTTGAAAATGTGTCGGTAGAGTATAAAATTCCTTTTGAAGTTAAATTTGGGGAGTAACAGGTGCTCGAAGTTTATTATTTTGCTTTCAATTTGAGGTGGTGTGATATTGAGGTGTTGGAAAATTAGCAAAGTGTACTTTCTCAAAATTTTTGATTCCCATATCCTTTCTTTCATTAGCCTATCACCTTTAGCCCCATTACAACCGTAATAAAGTCCTATTGATCCAAGGTATTACTTAAATATTGATAAGCGAGTTAGGTGGACAAGCAAGCATATGGCGGCATGTACAATGAGATCACTTGAGTGAAACACATTAACCAAAACTTATGAGTGAATGAGCGTATGTCTTGTGAGAAACTCACATGTTTGCATATGATGATTTAAAGGAGCTTGGAATTGCATTGACATGGCTAGCTCACACATGGCTTTTCAACGTTTTGTTTGAAGGAAATTTGGTTAATTATTGGATGATGTTTTGAGCTCTTGATTAATTCTTGGTTGTTTGTTTCATGATTAGCACTTATCTCTGAAATCGTAATTGAGAAGTTGCCTACTAAGTTGTTGAATCTAGTCTTAGTTGAGTTTGTTTTGTTTTGTGTTTTGTTTTGCTAGAGGACTAGCAAAAATGTAAGTTTGGGGGTATTTGATCACTCATATATTTCATACATTTATACCATCTATTTCTAAAGTCTTTGTGATGTTTTTGTGTTAAAATTGTGGCATTTTACCTTACCTTGTGTTATTGTGCAGTTAAATGTGTTTTAGGATCAATTTCAATTAAAAGGAAGAAAAGTGAAGACACGGACAAAGGAGAAGAGAGGATGGCAGGAAACAAAGTGGAAAAACAGCATGAAAGAATTCTGACAGAGTGGAGAGAGCATTGAGGCAGTGACGAAAAGAAAAAAGAAACAAATAAAAAAGACAGACTGGCAGACAAACAAGGAGTGGAAAGAAAAGAAAACGGAAATAATAGGGGAGTGGGCAGATTGACAGCGGGAAAGGAGAGAGCACAGCAAAAAAATATAAGAAAAGGAAGTGGAACAAAAAGCTGGAGAGGGAGTGAGGAGTGCGGGATAAAAGCAAAGAAAACTAGAAGAATAAAAAGAGAGTGCAGGACACGTGGATGGACGCAGCAAAAAGGCAAGGCAGACACGGGCTGACTCAAGGCAAGAACAGAGAAAAAATAAAAGAAAAGAAA